TTGAGGGCTCGGGATGGGATTTCCCAACCCCCAGTCTCTCCCACTCAACCCCGAAAGCTGCTGGAGCAGGATTCAGCTGCGTAAATGCAGACGCCTTGTGCTATCAAGGGATCCGAGACAGCGGCACAGGGCTGGTGGATGAGAAATAGGACCCATGGGAGGTCCTGCTCTTTCAGAGCAACAGGAGACCCAACAGCACGCAGAATACCCATTCAGGCAGCTATTTGCAGCCTTGCAGCTCATGGGCAAGCAGCAGAGTTGGGGATATGAAGCTCAGCCCACTCCCAGCTGCTGCTCTCCCTTACCCTGATCCTGACCATCCTCTCCCAGTATCAACGCTGGGAAGCGACTTGTCTGTCACCAGCTCTGTTTACCCTCGAACAGAGCTTCAGTCCAGATTTCTAAGATTCGAGATACAAGAATAAGGTTTGAATAGGATTTATGAAAACACCCGGCGTAAAGATGTGCACTGCCTGGTCCCTCGGAGCCCCCCAGCCGGGTGCTGTGCAAACCCACAGGTAAAAACGTTGCCTGTATCGCAGAGCTCATAAACCCAGTATAAGATAAAAGAAGTGCAGGTCTAAAGGAAATCAGATTAGGCACAGGTGCGACTGCTCTGCCTCCTCTCCTCTCTCTAGGGCATGTCAGAAGCTGCTCTGCTGGGAGCCGCGTGCACGCTGAGCGCAGGAGACGTGAGCAAGATCTGCCAGCTGACGGGCAACGCCATCCTTGGTGCGAGGGATGTGAAACAGCCTTGGAGAAATTCAGGTGAGCAGTAACCCCTCCTCCGAGCAAGCTCGCTGCCCCAAGGTCTCTCTCCCCACGGCCTCAGCTAGCTCATGCCCTGGAGTGATACCCCAGTACCTGGTCCTGGAGAGATGGTTATGTGCCCCCCCCACCCCGAGATTTCTGGTATCAGGAAGGAATAAATCACTCAACGCGACGGCAGCGGAAGCTGGACTGTGCCACGGGGGAACGCGGACCACAATTTATTCTGGAAGCTGGATGATTTCTTCAACCATGACATTCAAAGATTTTAAGGGCAGACCTTCATCTTCCGCTTGTCTGCCTCATCCTAGTTTCACTAATCCCAGCAGCTCTGCCCTTGGATGATTACTCAAATGCTTCTAATTAACTGGCGTTTTCTGCCACCAAGCCACGCTCGGTGCCCCGGGCGTTTGGCTCACCCTGTGCCCAGGGCTTTACCCACCCCAGCTCCTGCTGCCTCCGTGCCAGATCCCAGATGGCTGCCAGCCCCTGGGGAGCTCTCAGCTAGGAAGGTAGCTACTAGCAGCCAAAATACAAACAGGGACCGAGCCTCCAGCTGCCTCCTGGCTGGGAGCTGGGGCACGGCCTCTGGTCCATCGGGCTCGGATCTGAGCTCGGAGCCTCCTTGAATTACTCTCCACGTACAGCAATCGGGACCGTAAGCTGCCCTGAGCAGGGATGCTGTTGCACCACGTGCATCTCTGCACCCTCACCTTGTGCCGACCCAATAAATAAAGCGAGATGGGAAATACCTGCACGGCCCCTGCTGCTTAGCAAAGGGCTAAATCCCTCCTGCTCCTCCGCAGGGCGCGGAGCTGCCTGCTCTGGGCACGCAATCAGGCAATTTGATCTGGCCTAACCAGGCTTGGAGGAGGATCCTCACCTTGCAGAGCACACAGCACAGCCTTACCACAGCAGAAACGGGGTAGAGAGGAAGCCCTAAAACCACTGGGAAAGCATTTCTTCCCAATCCTGGCAGCATGAGGGCTGGCAGACACGATCAGCGTGCTCTGAGCCACTCAAAATTTGCTTCCCCCCCACATACCTTATTTTTAAAATTTGTTTTACTACCAGGCAAAGGCCCAAGCAGTGTGCAGCAGTGGAGGGTGAGCCCAGGCCAGCTGGCAGCGAGGGTTTGGGGCAGACCACAACTCAACCCTCCCCTTGGGACATCTGTGGCAGCAGCATCTCTTACCTGCTGTAGGCACGCTAACGTTATACTGAGGTAAGATAAACAGGAAGGCAGTCTTGGCTGTAACCTATCAAAGACACAAAGAGAAGGAAAAAAAAAAGCAAATCAGTCATTAAATCCATCCCTCTGCCACCATTTACTCCCCTTTCCTACCACACTGGGTAAGGCAAATAGTCCAGTGAGGTGTGTAGGCACTGGCTTCACTCACAAAAGTGCCCTTCAGCAAGGGGATTGCTAATGAAGAGGTCTGCCAACAGGGAGAAAGGGGTGGATAAAAGAGGGAGAAAAAAGCAATGCAGCTGTAAAAGCCACCAGCCAGCCTGACGGGGGAAGCTCCCTGCATCCCCTCGAGGACGAGCATCCCTCCAGCAGCACAGATCATCGTCACATGCAACCCACTGATAAGGGGACACCGAGAGCTGGACCTAGCAGGCCATCTGTGTTAATTAAAACCATCCCTCGTTCCCGTCCACTCCCAGTAGCCATGCCAGGAGCCTGGCTTGGGCAAAAATGACAACATCCAGCACCTGAGCAAGATCAGTGGCTTCAAAGCCCCACGGACCATACACAGACTTAGCCCCCACATCTTTGCAGAGTCTTCTGGTGATGGCAGCCACAGGACTGGTGAGGCCAGACCCATTTAGAGACCTCGCCGGTGTTTGCAAGGGTCCCACAGGGCAGGGGAAAAGGAGCTTTGGCAAAAGAGCTGAACCTTGTGCTGGCCACGCACGAGAGCCCAGCTGCACAACCAGCATCACAGGCTGGCCCCAAAAGGGTGAAAAAACCCCCCAACCCTGGGCTGAGACATCAGGTCCCCGACAAAGCAGGGCTGTGCTTGCTCTTCATTTATTGCTTTTAATTCGAGGGAAAGATCCCCGCTGCAGCAAAGCAGGAGGCTTCACAGCGCCGGGGCAGAGCTGAGCAACCCAGTGCAGCTGCAGGACGCCCCAAAGCTGCGTCTCCGAGACCGACGCGGCCCCGGGCCGGG